CGAAATAGACATTGATTGGCCAAGCGTGTATGAAACCGCCCTCACCCGCCATGATTTAAAACGCAGTGTAAACATACTGTAAACATTGTGTCAACTTATTTTGCAAGTATGGAGAACAGCGATAGATAGACGGACACTGAAGTGCAGGCACTTGTAGCAAACGTAGCTCTGCCAGTTGTCGTTGGAGATTCTTAGTCCTCCTTTCCGTTCTTTCAATCGCTTTACGTATACGGCAACATTCCATGTCCATTCTTGTGAAGCCCGCGAGGCACAACAAAAACACAGCTCCGATCACAGCGTCCTCCATCCTCCTGTTGTTAATGTTGTTCTTCTTTGTTTCTGTTGTTGAACAAATGACGTCGCTGTAGACCGGCTTACGTCACTTCTATTAACTGGCAGTGTTGGCTCTTTGCATGGGTATACAGTACTTCCCTCCCCTTTCCTTTCTCCCCCCCTCCCCTTTGGCTCATCTGTTTCTTGCTGATCAGCTCCTTGTGAATATTTGGTGAAGAGACATGGAAACATAGTCTTCTCTGTGTCCAGGTAATGCTTAACAATACCTCTGAACTGCTCCTCACGATCCACTACCAAACAAGCAACTTTTGGGCGTCTTGTTTCACTTTGTGGTTGATGTGTTCTCTGGGCGTCTCTTGCTTTTTTTGTATTTATAATGTTTTACTCTAGTGCGAATTCAACCCTTTAAATGGTACTGGGAAATAGTTTGTGCAAAAGCGTCCCAGTACTTTAGTACTTTACATTTAGTTCTGGAACTAAAGCGGTGCGAAAGGCCCTATTCAGAACCAGTTCTGTTTTTTTAAAAGAACCGGAACCGTGAGCAATTTCTAAGTTTCGGTTCCGAAAAAGGTTCTGGTGCGACACGTGACCAAGCGCTGTGAGCAGCCTTGTGCCGGCGTTTCCGGCCACCCTGCCTCTTTAATTACTGAGCACATTGTTTCCCATGACACGCACTCCACAGACACACCGCGTCTTTAACTGCCAAACACATAGTTTTCCACAACTGTATGCGCACTCGCGTCTTTGATAACTGTGCACGTTGTTTTCATTCATTTTAAATGTTTAAAAATGTGGAAACCACTCATTGCATTACACCATCTCCTGATTGCATTATTATTTGTAAAATAGGGGCTTTATGGAGTGTGTGTATACATGGTTATAAGTATAACAGTTAATATTTCATTAATTTAGGGAAATGAACAAGTGTCTTAGCCCTCAAGGGACTATTTGGCCAACCAGCTTATTCCAGCTTGAAAAGCAAAATGTTATTAATAGTGTAAAAAACATCAACTTTGAAGCACATGTGATTGATGGACTAGCATTACTCAACATTACTTACTACCTTCCAGCAACACTACATTCAATGAAGGTAAAATAGTAAAAAAAAAAGTATTTTGCAAGTATGGAGAACAGCGATAGATAGACGGACACTGAAGTGCAGGCACTTGTAGCAAACGTAGCTCTGCCAGTTGTCGTTGGAGATTCTTAGTCCTCCTTTCCGTTCTTTCAATCGCTTTACGTATACGGCGACATTCCATGTCCATTCTTGTGAAGCCCGCGAGACACAACAAAAACACAGCTCCGATCACAGCGTCCTCCATCCTCCTGTTGTTAATGTTGTTCTTCTTTGTTTCTGTTGTTGAACAAATGACGTCGCTGTAGACCGGCTTACGTCACTTCTTAGTACACACTGTCAGTGCGAATTCAACCCTTTAAATGGTACTGGGAAATAGTTTGTGCAAAAGCGTCCCAGTACTTTAGTACTTTACATTTAGTTCTGGAACTAAAGCGGTGCGAAAGGCCCTATTCAGAACCAGTTCTGTTTTTTTAAAAGAACCGGAACCGTGAGCAATTTCTAAGTTTCGGTTCCGAAAAAGGTTCTGGTGCGACACGTGACCAAGCGCTGTGAGCAGCCTTGCAACTGCGTTTCCCGTAAAGGATGTCACAAACTAAATAACAGAAACGCCGCCCTGCCTCTTTAATTACTGAGCACATTGTTTCCCATGACACGCACTCCACAGACACACCGCGTCTTTAACTGCCAAACACATAGTTTTCCACAACTGTATGCGCACTCGCGTCTTTGATAACTGTGCACGTTGTTTTCATTCATTTTAAATGTTTAAAAATGTGGAAACCACTCATTGCATTACACCATCTCCTGATTGCATTATTATTTGTAAAATAGGGGCTTTATGGAGTGTGTGTATACATGGTTATAAGTATAACAGTTAATATTTCATTAATTTAGGGAAATGAACAAGTGTCTTAGCCCTCAAGGGACTATTTGGCCAACCAGCTTATTCCTGCTTGAAAAGCAAAATGTTATTAATAGTGTAAAAAACATCAACTTTGAAGCACATGTGATTGATGGACTAGCATTACTCAACATTACTTACTACCTTCCAGCAACACTACATTCAATGAAGGTAAAATAGTAAAAAAAAAAGTATAATAATAGTTCATTTAAATGGAACCGGAATCGTTAGGCAAAACTGGAACCGGAATCGTTAGGCAAAACTGGAACCGGAATCGTTAGGCAAAACTGGAACCGGAATCGTTAGGCAAAACTGGAACCGGAATCGTTAGGCAAAACTGGAACCGGAATCGTTAGGCAAAACTGGAACCGGAAAATTTCTAACGATACCCAACCCTAGTCATGAATGTAGTTGTCGATTAATTGGATGATATCTGGCCACATTGGACTAACATAATTCTGAAATCTGCATACTGCTCAAAATGAAGTTATGAATGAAATCCCGTCTTTTACACGATGATCCATCCTATCAATCACTAACAGGTTTAGTTTAACTATGCTTAGATTTAGAGAAACCAGGGTGTTTAAACTAATATCAGATAAATGAAAATTCAATAAATACGTTTTTGTCAGTTCCATTGTTAACATTACTTAATATAATATAATGTAATGTAATAATATTTTAATTGTAAAGTAACAACTATAGACTTTAATTTAATAATTTAAAAATTATGTTGTGTAAAATAAATGCTAATATCTGTCATTTTGTGTACATTTCATATGCTATCTTAAAATTGTATTATATCTATGTGCATGTTCACTACTGTTCAGAAATGCTGGGTCATTTTTTTTAAAGTAATACTTTTATTCAGCAAGGATGCATTAATTTGATAAAAAATTACAGTAAAGACATTGTTGCAAAATATGATTATTATCTATTTCAGCTAAATGCTGTTCTATCAAACTTTCATCAAAGAATCCTGAAAAAATCTCAGTTTTCATGAAAATTCTAAGCAGCACAAGCATTTTGAACATTGATAATAACAAGAAATATTTGAGCAGCAAATCAGCATATGTGACCCTGGAGCACAAAACCAGTCTTAAGTAGCATCTTAAGTTATATTTGTAGCAATAGCCAACAAGACATTGTATGGGTCAAAATTACAGATTTTTCTTTTATGACAAAAATTATTAGGATATATTAAGTAAAGATCATGTTTCATGAAGATATTTTGTACATTTCCTACGTAAATATATCAAAACTTAATTTTTGATTAGTAATATGCATTGCTAAGAACTTCGTTGGGACAAGTTTAAAGACGATTTTCTCAATATTTAGTTTTTTTTTTGCACCCTCAGATTCCAGATTTTCAAATAGTTGAATCTCGGCCAAATATTGTCCTATCCTTACAAATCATACATCAATGGAAAGCTTATTTGTTCAGCTTGCAGGAGATGTATACATCTCAATTGCTAAAAATTGTCCCTTATGACTGGTTTTGTGGTCCAGGGTCACATATTAGAATGATTTCTGAAGGATCATGTGACACCGAAACATGGAGTAATGATGCTGAAAATTCAGCTTTGCATCTCAAGAATAAATTACATTTTAAAATATATTAAAATATAAAACAGCTATTTTGAATTCTAATATTTCACAATATTACTGATTTTACTGTATTTTTAGTCAAATAAATGCAGCCTTGGTGCACATAAGAGACAAATAAAAATTTAAATGATACCAACCCCAGCAATCAGTCATTCTGCTTTTTACATGCTGGTATGAGTACTGTCCAGTAAAAAACCCATAACAGTTGTCCGCTAGTAGAAATTACAGTTAGTAATTAAATTATTAGACTCCATGTGACCTTGGCAACTAGAATTTCCTCTCATGGATCAATACTGTCAGTCTGTCTGTCTTTCTCAATGTCAGCAGCAGCGTAGGATGTTTGCTGTTACACAACGTTTGCACTAACGCCACTAAATGCTGGAGTCCACCTGGATAATGTTGTTTTTCTTGCGCGAATAGTGCTTGCATAATTCTCCCTATCCTTCATGAGTGCCATGGGTTTTGTGTCTAATGAAAAAGTGCTTACTCGAAGAATATTTATGACCTCGTAAATCCACACAGGAACCACTGGGCAATGCCACGTTTCTGTTTTAGGGAGGATGGCTGTTCAGTTCTGCCGGACTGTCAGCGCGCTAAGACTCTTCTTTTATCAGTGACAGACTTCTGTTCATTGGCCACACCACATGGTAACATAAAACCACACTTGGCACTATACTGCAACTGACATCATGAGACCGAATCTTTCTGAATTTCACTCTTGGGAATTGTAGGCCTCTTTTAGAAGGAAATTCCTGTCTGGTATACAAACTATGTTGGTCTGGCCCACTTAGAAAAAATAGGCTGGCTCTTGTTAGTAGCCTGCCCCTGCCATCCAAAGACATGTGGGGTCATAAAACGCATCAGCTAATTGGGATCCAGAACTGATATCTTAGCTGTGATTTTTGGTTCAGCTCATCCAACTGTTAAAAAAAAAAAATCACCATTGACTGTCACGGTAATTATAGAGTACTCTTTTGCAATGATGGCGCATGGGGGTGTTAACCAGGTCCACATATGGTGGTTGCTCAGTAGGGCACGGCTCGGCTCAGTTTGTGATTCCACTGCAGTTTAGTACCGCTTTAGAGTGGGCGGGATTATTGACATGTCGTTATAGTTGCGCTGCCTCTATTGCCACGACTCCTGAAAAATGTTTTCATTCCGTGTCGCCCCATCAAGCTCTCGCTGGATCCGCTCCTCTGCTATCAATGAGAGGAACGTATGTACTTCCTCAACAGACCACGAAACAGCCAGTTTTTGGTTGTTAAAAAAAAGGTGCGCTCGTTCAAAACAGTTGCGTTCGATCCTTCGCTGGCTGTGCTGATTTAAATCTAGCGGTTCTGTTGTTTCTCTGTTAGTGCTGTGTTCGATACATCGATCCGATGATGAATAGAGCATAATATATAGGCTACAACAAGGTTTAATCTGGCTGCAGAGGAACACAACCGGGGTTGCCTGATATAAAGAGACGTAATCCCCAAAACAGAGCTTCACACTTGTGCAATACGGAAATATCTGCTAAGTGTGCTACTTATCTTTGTCAACCTGGCAACCATGTGAACGCGCTCTCTCTCCACTGTGGATAAACGCGCTTGCTTTCTGAAAACACTGGTTAGCTTGCAGTTTAGCGATCTCCACTTTAATATTCTATTCTCAGAAAAGTATAATTCATCAAGTGTTCATTTATGAGAGAGAGAGCGGTGTATGTATGAATTACCACCGTTTTGCCTTGTTTCTCTATTAACAGTGAAGCTATGGCTTTAATTCCTTTAGAAACAATGATGTTTCCAGCTCGCGCATTAGTTTAGAACTCTTCTAATTTTTTGTTTTTTAAATGTAGAGAGTGTGTTCATTTGTGCAATGATACCCTACCAGCAATGTAAATATGATTTTTTTTTATATATTAGAATGAGTACATTACAATATAAATTTATTAGAACGAGTACATTATTATTTATGGGCATAAAAACAAGATGCAAACAATCAGAATATTGTACCTGGTGGGGAGTGCCCCAATGTAAACATGAAACATATGCCATTACCTATATTGTACTGTGGTACAGTTATGGATATGGATGTGGTACTTCATAATGCAGAGGTCAGCAGCCTGCTCTGCCAATAGTTAGGAATGGCACTATAGTAAGCAGTGTTTAATAAACAGCTGTTTTACTAAACTCTTCTGAGGTGAAATTCAATGCAGTCCCGTATTGTGATACGTATCGTATCGTTGCCTCTGTATCGTGATGCGTATCGTATCGTGACTTTGCTGGTGATACACAGCCCTAGTCTCTGTGTCGTAAGTTCAGTGACGCAGGTAGTGACGATTCTCTCCGGCCAATCAGTGATCAGCAGAGTTTACACGTCACGTTTTGGTAACGGTATGGTTCACTTGGAACCTCAACCGAGGTGGTACTGAAAAAAGTAACAGGTAATGTACCCAGTGAAAAAAACAAACAAAAGTTAACCGTACCGTGCCGTACCATGCAGTGGAAAAGCGGTAATTGTGAGAGTGCCATATCTCAAAGGAAGCCACATTTTTCCTCTTTTATAATTCATAGAGAGGAATTTTGATAAGAGCTTGTCTCTCACTCAGAGGGAATATTTTCATTTGAACATTTCTGAACCTTTCCTTTGAAATTCTCACAGGTGAACTGATTACAAAGTCTAATATGCACCAAAAAACCCATGTATAGGACAGCGGTAAAGCTTCAGTCTTCTTGTTGTGAGTTCTCTAAAGAAAGGGATCAAGGTCCTTGTTTAACTTTGCTATTCAGGCAAACATGTTTTTTGCATACTCATTACTATGTTCTGTGATGGATTTGATGGCTGTCGTTGCAGTGCTATAAAGGTAATTACATTTTTTTTGTTTAAAACCTCTGGTGTGCTCAAGAGAAAATAGTTACCTTCAAAAGTATGAGTCATTGACAAGTAACAGTGTCCATGAACACGTCATAGACAAATCTTTTCAAAATCTAATTGAAAACCAGCTCTTAGAAGTCAACTCCTTGTATGTCAGTTTTAAGTGGTTTTGAAATTTTTTTTAAATTGTATTTAATTTTTAAAAATTTAAACAAAAATGTATTTGAATGATTGTGGATTGAAAAGTAATCATATATTCTAGGGATGTGCATCTCATGACCGATACGATACGCATCTCGATGCATAGCCAACGATACGATACATATGAAGCAACTACCGATGCGATACGATTCACCCCTGTTACGATGCAGTGCGATCCGATTTCGATTCGATTCAACACAGTGCGATTCGATGCAATGGAGAAAATATGATCACTTTTAATGCCTCAAGGCCTGTTTCATAAAACAAGTTAACCAAATAAGCCAGGCTTATTTCAGTTAGTCTGACTCATTGTCAAATGATTTGGTTCCATAAAGCAAATTTAACATAGGCCTAGATCAAGCTTAGTCACTGTGGCAACTTATGCTGGGAAACTGACCTGGTCTAAAGCAGGCTAACTGTCAGGCTAAGCTAAGCTCCTCTACTGACCAATAGGAACATAATGATATTACCACTGTCTCGCATACTATTATTTGACTTTTTGTTTTTTTCACAGTTTCTAGCCATGCAGCCTTTCTCTCTGGTTTTAGTACATCTGTACCTTTTATAGTTTGCAGAACAGATAGCAGAACATTAGAACATTCAAATCTAAAATTGCTCTTTAAAGCATTAAAATAACTAAATTAAAAGTTAAAATCACTTGATTAAAAATGAAAATAAATAATAAAGAAAATGACTACATTTTAACTGCTATAAGAAACACATGAACTCATTTGAGCTTAGTAATTAATACTGTAGCCTATAGCTTACATTTGATTCACCTATTACAATAGTCCACTTACAGTTACTGCTATCATAAAAATACACTTTATATGTGGGTTTAAAATTCTACAAAAGACACATTTAATGTCCAAAAACAATTTACAGATGAAAAATATACCTGTGACATGTCAGTTATGCACTGAGGAAAACACGTCTCAAGTGCATTAAACAGCACAGATATATTCGCTGTAGGGCTGGACGATATGGCCTAAATTTATATCACGATATATTTATTAATTTCGGTCGATACGATATAATTCCGATATCGATATGAACACTTATTTAAAAAAAGCCTCGTAAAAACTGCCAAGAACGCCCACAACAAATGTCTGTGCATACAAACTTATGAAAAATGAATTTGACGAAAAACAAAAAAACATTAAAAATCGTACTGTCCAAAAACTTTGACTGGTAGTGTAGGCTGATTATTCTTATAGATTGAAACAAATGTGCTTTAGCCAGTATAAAGGGTATGAAAGGTGCTCTGAGTTTCTGCAGAAAAAAAAAATAAAGAGCTACAACAAAAACATGTTGCTGGAGACGGGCTTATTGAAAATTGAAAAACTGATTATCTGCCAGCAGGAGGTGCATTGAGAGCGGTAGAACTTGCGGTTTCTCCAGTAATGGTGGTAAACAAAGCAGCTCCGCTCATGAACGCTACTTTATCAGATCAAATGAAAATGCCATCGAAACTTTTCTGAAGACAGTCGGTTCCCTTCAGAGATACATTCATATAAAACACCCGCGCCGTGTGTTATGATTTTGAAACGTGCAGTGCTCATGTTTATTCAACGAAGTCAAACGCCACAAATAAATCAATGTATGGGAAACACTGGTAATGTATATCGAAATATCGGAAATGTGTTTAAAAATCATATCACTGTTATTGAAAAAAATTATATCGCGATACATATTGATATTGAATTATTGTCCAGCCCTAATTCGCTGTTTGCTATGGTGGATCGTTTCGATCCATGATCGACATTGAGGTCTGCTTAAGAATAAGCGTGCACAAATTAGTGCGATTGTGTGAATTTAATTAGTCGTTAATGGAACCGCTTTAGCCCCAATTGATTTGTTAGGTTATTTCAAGTCAGGTTTTGGACTTTAATCCCAGTTTTTCCTCGGGTCTCCGTGGTGTTGATGCGTCATATTCACGCAGCAGCAGCGGTGATTTAGAGTTTAGAGTTAAGCAGTTTAGAGAGGAGAAATCAATCTACATATAAAATATTGGTCACTTTCTTAATAACAAGTATAGCGCATCCACTAGTAATTATATATAAATGAATCGGTTTTTACCAATGCAAATATGTTAGAAACGATGTATCGCGATACTAATGCCAACTTGTATCCGATGCACACTTTTTAAACTGATGCATCGCATTAACTTTTTTTATGCCGATGCACCGAGCGAATCGGGGAATCTTCCCATCCCTAATATATTCCTTACACCTGGAATATATGTGAGTGTATACGTTAGTTATTTTTAAAAGGTTTTTAAATATTTTTATATTTTCTTCCCCACATATCCTGAATTTATATCATAAATGCCATGCCACATGACATTTTACAACCTGAACTAACCTTGTCATGTCATAAAAAGGTCAAATTTTTTAATATTTTAAAAGACTCATCAGGGGTCCTTTCCTTTTACATCATTTTCTTTTTTATTATTCTGCATGCTGGTTGCACGAGATTTGTAGGTTGCACCACATGACTTTGATTTGGCGTATGTATATATATATATATATATATATATATACATTATTAGTGTTTTTTCTTCCAAGAATGTAATTTTTCAGGAAAAACTTGAAAAATGTCATGGTTTGTCACAAAATTTCATTGCTTTGAAAGCACCACTTTAAAAAAAAGAAAATATATAAAGCTGTAAAACAGGGGTGTCCAAGGTGGAGTTAAACGCTGCAGAATATAAATGAATCGGTTTTTACCAATGCAAATATGTTAGAAACGATGTATCGCGATACTAATGCCAACTTGTATCCGATGCACACTTTTTAAACTGATGCATCGCATTAACTTTTTTTATGCCGATGCACCGAGCGAATCGGGGAATCTTCCCATCCCTAATATATTCCTTACACCTGGAATATATGTGAGTGTATACGTTAGTTATTTTTAGAAGGTTTTTAAATATTTTTATATTTTCTTCCCCACATATCCTGAATTTATATCATAAATGCCATGCCACATGACATTTTACAACCTGAACTAACCTTGTCATGTCATAAAAAGGTCAAATTTTTTAATATTTTAAAAGACTCATCAGGGGTCCTTTCCTTTTACATCATTTTCTTTTTTATTATTCTGCATGCTGGTTGCACGAGATTTGTAGGTTGCACCACATGACTTTGATTTGGCGTATGTATATATATATATATATATATATATATACATTATTAGTGTTTTTTCTTCCAAGAATGTAATTTTTCAGGAAAAACTTGAAAAATGTCATGGTTTGTCACAAAATTTCATTGCTTTGAAAGCACCACTTTAAAAAAAAGAAAATATATAAAGCTGTAAAACAGGGGTGTCCAAGGTGGAGTTAAACGCTGCAGAACACAGGCCCTCCAGTTTGGACACCCCAGGTCTATCTAGTCGAGGGGTGCCCAAACTCGGTCCTGGAGGGCTGGTGTCGTGCAGAGTTTAGCTCCAACTTGCCTCAACACACCTGCCTTCAAGTTTCTAGTATGCCTATTAAGAGCTTGATTAGCTGGTTCAGGTGTGTTTAATTGAGGTTGGAGCTAAACTCTTCAGGACACCGGCCCTCCAGGACCGAGTTTGGGCACCCCTAATCTAGTCTATTTAGTATAGTTGGTTGTTGGGTTACTAGTCAACCATCTTTACCCATCTCTGGTCTTTGCTGAGGCTAATATTTAAGAGTAATTGTGAAAATAATTCGTGTATTTGTTCGGTGTATTGATTCTGCTAACCATTGTTATCCAGGTTTGCTCCCTCAGTTTAGCACATAGTGGATTAACTGTGATGGTAACATTGGTTAAGCTCTACTGAGCATCACAGTTAAGCACCACAGAGATTTCCTAAGGATCAAACACACATTCTTTTTCTGTACATCGTTATAAAACAGCCAGCTGGCTTAACAAATGTTCACCTAACCATCTTTGAACACATCTAGACCGTCTGGACTTTTTTTGTCCAGAAATAGTTTCTTGTTAATACTCGTTTGTTCTTTGTCTTTAAACCGCTTTTGTTTCATCTTGTAGGTGGCCCCTGACTTTTTCGAGTATTTCCGTGCACTCTACCCCATCTTGCGATCGGATCCGACTCTGCTGTGCATTTCCGCCTGGAACGATAACGGACGGGATGGGCTGGTCGACCCGGGCAAGGCGGACCTCCTTTACCGGACAGATTTCTTTCCCGGCCTCGGTTGGATGCTTTTGAAGGAAGTCTGGGCAGAGCTGGAGCCCAAGTGGCCCAAGGCATTCTGGGACGACTGGATGCGGCACCCAGAGCAGCGTAAGGACCGCTCATGCATTCGTCCCGAGATCTCGAGGACTATAACGTTCGGCCGGAAAGGCGTCAGTTTGGGTCAATTTTTCGACCAGTATCTGCGCTACATAAAACTCAATACTGAATTCGTGCCTTTCACTAATCTGGACTTGTCCTACTTGGTCAGGGAGAAGTACGATGAAACCTTTGAAAAGGAAGTGTATAGCGCCCCCTTGGTGAAGGTGGAGGAACTACAGCAAGGTGGAAGCCTGAAAGGCTCCGGGCCGTTTCGAGTTCAGTACTCTAGCAGAGACAGCTTTAAAGTGCTGGCCCGCAACTTGGGAGTTATGGATGACTTGAAGTCAGGGGTTCCCCGTGCCGGTTACAGGGGCGTAGTCAGCTTTATTTCCCGCGGACGGAAAATGTATCTAGCTCCCCCTGAGGGCTGGACTAAATACGACACCAGCTGGAGCTGAGGAGAATGAGCTTTGGACCACAATAGACCAGAAAGAGAATATCACAACTATTATCACAAGTACAGGAGCAGAGAAACGCCCTCTCAAACCAAAGAAAACAGAGGCAGGGTGTGAAAGGTTGAGGAAAGGTTAATGCCAAGATGCGAGTATAAAATAACTGCTGTTTTGTTATGGAGGAACACCCAGGAATGCTGGGAACAGCACAAAAGTTGGTGCATCGTATTTGCGCAGCAATCATGCAACAAGCTTCCCTCAGAGAAAACAGTTACGCTGCAAACAGCTCCTATGCCGAATCGCTCATTCTGACATGGAGAAAAATTATCTGATTGTTTATTTTTCTGACCTTTATGTTGATTTCACATCAATCCAAAAGGCATATAAGAGGTTTTATATTTTATCCTACCACAGTGTCTTTTGGGTGAATCTCACGATAACACTCAAAGGAAGAAATTATATTTGCATATATGCAGAAAAACTGACCATTTTTTTTGACATTTTCACTGCAAACTAATTTTTTTCTTAAATTGATCTTTGTAAGGAATCTGACAGTTTTACTTTTTTTGTTGTAATTTTCATTATTCTCAGTGATGATTTTAATTATAACAGGAATTACCGGATAATTAATATATATATTATTACTGTAATAATAATATATATATAATTAATATTAGTTTATTATTATTATGTGCTTAATTTTAAATATATTTTTTGCTTAAAAATGTGTTCTGGACCAGTGAGATTCAGCCTTTTAAAGACCAATCTGAGTGTTAAAAGCACTTTTGCCAAGTTTAATGGGTCCCTGACATCATTATAAATGAAGATTGTGTATAATTGTTGTCTAATTTGATCGATGCATTCATATAAAAGCGCAGACTCGATCATTTGACTTTTATGTAGCACCGTTGAATCTATGAAGTTCAAGCTTGTTGCCAGAAATTATTCAAGGCTTGTGTAACTGACATACCAAAACTCTGGACAGCATCTCGTTTGTGCCATTCTGTTGAAGTACTGTACTTGAACCTGTTTTTGTTTTAACTGCTCTTCCTGGACCGGGAGAGCTCTCATTGCTTTTTAAAGATGTTGTAGGTTTGTTGCAAAACCAGTGGTCATAGAAATCGCTTTATATGTTCTTTCGGATGAAATGAATGGATTTCAGTAGGCCAGAGGAAACATTTTAATTAAATGTACTGTATCTAAATGTTTGGGAGAGAAATGATCTGATATCAATGCATATGCAGTATGAAGAAGTGTGAAACCACTGCCTGACATGTTTATAACTTTAATACATTGAGAATAAAGCAGACTATTTTGATATTTGGCAATATATGTTGTTTTTTTCAGTCTTTTTTTGTCCATTTAAACAACCATTTGGGAATGATCTTTCATTTGTTTAGGTCTCAAATGTTTAATTTTCTCTTTTAAAGTCACTAATTTTGAGGTTTGTGAACGTGTTCTGTGTCATGTTGGTTGTTAAAGCTGAAATCCTATCTGGTGACTTCCTTCCAGGCATAATTTTTCCAAACCCCCAACATCAGCACTGATCCAGGCGCCATTGTGACACCTTTGACGTCTCTGTCGCTCCAGATTTCCTTTCTCACTCCTCTTGTGTCCTGTTGACTTCCTGTCTCATGGCTCTCTGTGGTTGACTTAACGACGTTCTTTTCCTGTTCTTGTACAACCACCAGCAACTTTCGTTACTGATTAGATGAATTGGACATTCATTTTGTGTTTCTTTAGCCATTAATCAGATTAATTTTTCTGGGAATTGGGCAGTGGTGAATCATACTAGAACATCTCATTCTAGCATGATTGATTAAATGGTTGATCATATCAGGGAAATTAGTAGCTGAAATTAAGTGGTTCAGAATGTATCTACCATGCTTTTATGACTTGTTAAAAAGAGCTAATTTGATAGACCTCTTTCAAGCCCCTTTTCCACCATGCTTTTTGCACTTCTACAGAAAACCAGTTCAAATAAGCAGCTGGTCTCAAACTGTTGTTGCTTTCAAAACAACAATAGCTCAGTCTGGCAAGATTTATGCAAACAAAACTAGGTCGTCTTATGCTGAAGCAAAGCTGTCTATACTAAGTTGCACATATAAAATAAGACGTATCATATTAGTGAATTGATCGCTATGAACTTTATGAACATATTCAAGTTATCTTTTGGCTCTGAAAGGTAGTTGTAAAGGCTTGTTCACACCGAGGACGATAACTATAAAGATCGAGTTCTAAAAATTGTTCTCAATATTAAAGAATAGCAGCGTCCACACCACCGCTATAACGATAAAGGCGTTATCGTTGGAATCAGAACGATTTTTTTTCCAGCTGATGAACAGTAAAAACATTGACACCCAATCAGAATCAATCTTGCTATAATGAGCTCGAGAATTTAAAGTGGCAGATGAGCGTGCCGTGCAGTGCTTAGAATAAACAGATATCGTCCGCTGGTGTGGATGCTAATATAGCTCTGTTTATAGTTATCGTTCTTGGTGTGAATGGGCCTTAAGCCTTCTCAAAATTCAATGTAGAGATGCATAAAAACCAGACTAAATTATTCCTGCTCTGACGCACATCACCCATTAGTATCAATATACGGTTGAAATAGTAGTGTAAATGCATTCATGCCATCTCAGAGCAGCATTATAGAGTCCGTATAAATGCCACTTCAGAAGCACTTCTGCGACACCTTTGCAGTGTAAATGACTTCTGAAGGTCTGAATTCATTAAGTCATAGGGGTCCTTCATTTTCTGTGTTCCGCTCGGTCTCGTGCACAGTTGGTAAGATCTAGTGAACCGTTCTTTTCAGTGCACAGCGTAATGTTTGTCATCAGTGCAGTCCGCAAAACTTGGGACATGGGAAGTTCACTTTTGGATTTAGACTGTTTAGGTACCAGCCAAAAATCTTGCGAGCCACTGAAATCTTACAAACAAAAGTGTGAAAACACAAAGTGTGTGTAAATTAAACAAACATACTTTATTTGGTTTTAACAAGCATTAAGTAGTTTAAACTACTTTAAAAAAAATTGTCTGGCAGCTGAACATACACTGAACACATTTCGTTGATACCTACTTCACTGGTAACAAGCATTCAGCATATACTGCTAATATATTGAATAACTTTCAAACAATTTAACATCAATGCAATCAACTGTATGGTCCATTTTAATCCAATGGTGAAAACGCCTCCTCTCATAACAGAAAACAAAAATTATGCCTCTGCCAAATAACCAAAATTCAAAAACAAGCTAATTATTTGTATTGGGAGGAAAAATAGTAACATTGAAAATAATGATTTTTTTTTATTGTCAACAAGCAAAATCAAACTGAACTACTGAGGAGGTATTAGGAAATCCACTACATTATAGAATAACACTGCGATATGAGCTGTTTATTCACTAACACCATAACAGTTTACGTGACAGACAAACTCTCTGTTGCTACCAGTTGCTACAATGCCATGCATCCTCTGAAGAAACTACTGCTTTGTGTTCGGTCGTCTTTATCGAGTTTGTTCAACTAGGAGAAAGATACACAAGGAGACAATTACATAAGTGCACAAATTCAGATAACATAAGAACAGTTTTGACTTATTTACTCAAAACATTGACTAAATATGGACAATTTCGACATTTTCTATTAACAAAACCCCAAAATGAGATTTCTATTATTATTTGGACTGCTGCATACTAATGTTTTATTCACTGTCCCATTCACTTTCTTTTTATGGAAAAGAGCAACATAGACATTCTTCAAAATATCTTATTTTGTGTTCCTCAGAAAAAAAGACAGTTGAACAGGATTCTGAAATAACTGAATAAATGAGCACATTTACTTTTTTGTGAATTATCCCTTTTGGAAAACCGGCTGTAACGACTGAATAGTAACACTCACTGTATGAAGAGATGTCAATCTCCTCTGGAAGTTCGCTGATGTTCACCTCAAACCTGTCCTGAACATCGTTCAAAGTGCGGGCGTCAGTCTCATCTGACACAAAGGTGATGGCCAGACCTTTCGTTCCAAACCTGCCGGCCCTCGCAACCTGAAGGAATGAGAAAAATTAAAGCTGTTCAGATGGATCTAATCATTTAGCCCTTTTTTGGGGAATAATCTTTCATTTGTTTAGGTCTCAAATGTTTCATTTTCTCTTTTAAAGTCTCTAATTTTGAGGTTTGTGAACGTGTTCTTTCTGTGTCATGTTGGTTGTTAAAGCTGAAATCCCATCTGGTGACTTCCTTCCAGGCATCATTTGTCCAAACCCCCAACATCAGCACTGATCCAGGCGCCATTGTGACACCTTTGACTTCTCTGTCGCTCCTATTTTGACATTAATTATTATTTCCACAAACTAAACCAACCCTGTGCAGGTATGTGTCTGAATCTTCAGGCATGTCGTAGTTGAAGGCGATGTTGACTCTTTCGATGTCCATACCTCGGCCAAACAGGTTTGTGGCCACCAGGATCCGTCTCTGGAAATCCTTGAACTGCTGATATCGAGCTAATCTGGGATAATAATAGGAGTCTCAAATGTGATATGAGCACCTAAAAAAATCCTACAATCATAACTGTAACATTAAAGTTTTTTTTACCTTTCGTCTTGAGGCATTGCTCTATGAATGGCAATGGCAGGGAAATTTTGCTCCACCAGCAACTGAGCCAGAGCAATACAACGCTGCACGGACTTCACAAAGATCACCACCTGCAATACTAAACAACTGTAACACTGCACCAGCCGGCTGTCTTCATTAAAATGAAACATCAATCCCAATGACCGCTTCAAACCAAGTGCAAAAATTCTCCCACTGAATTCGCTTTTTTTCCATAGCTTATGGTAATCTTTTGGATTGCTTGGCAAAATCTCAAGAAACCAACAATCCAAATAAAGGTTTGGGTTAAATATATATAGTAAATAAATGAAACCTGTTACTCAGAAAGGATGCATTAAATTGATCAAACGTGACAGTCATTTACAATGTTGCAAAAGATTTTGATTTAAAAAAATGCCGTTCTTTTGAACATTCTAGTCATCACAGAATCCTGAAAAAAAGTATCATGGTTTTCTCAAAATTAAGCAACAAATCAAATGTTTCTTGAGCAGCAAATCAGCATATTTGAATGATTTCTGAAGGATCATGTGACACTGAAGACTGGAGTAATGATGCTGAAAATTCAGCTGCGCATCACAGGAATAAATGACATTTTCAAATATGTTCAATTAGAAATCAGCTATTTTAAACTGTAATAATATTTCACAATATTACTGTTTTTACTGTATTTTTGCTCAAACAATTCAATAAGAGAATTATTTCAAAAACATTTTTTAAAAATCTTATGGACCCTAAACCATATATATACACATTATTTAAGGTTAGGGTTGTAAAATTGCATAATTACGTTACATCAAAACTTTATTTCTAGGTTTAAGATTGTAAATCCCAGATTTTGAATGTGGTTTTGAACTCAATTGTATTTTATCCTCACACAATTTTACTTCCATCTATTCCATTCCATTGGGTTGTAGATTGCATTTAATTGGATAAACAAAATCTGTATTCAAACGGGTTGCGTTGTATTTTGCATTAAAGCATGTGAATGACCAGAGTGCATGTGG